GTCAACAATCATGAAAATCAAAAGCATGATGGGCATATTCAGCTTTATATTTTATCTGAAAATCAGGCACATCACTCATGATAAAGGCCGCTGTCATATATTTTTTTAGAAACCGGAAGTACATTTGAATCGCTGATTTTTACACATTTCCTAAAACAGAAAATTAATATAAACAAACGAACACATCTTGCTAAGAAATTAACAAAGCCGCTAGGCTATTAAGATGCAATCCCCTGTTATAAAACACATTTAAAAAACAGTCAAACGCAATCATATAATAAATTCTTTTCGTACTCACCTCCATTCAAGTTATTTATTAACCTGTGACCCGGAAGTACTTCTAGGCTTGTTTGCTCGTTGGAGGTTGCATCTGTGCTCCAGTGTTTAACTCCAAGACAAAATGGCAGTACAGGCAGCTCAGCGAGGTCGGCTTGTTGCAGTTATTGGTGATGAAGTAAGTTTTAGTTTTAGTCTTATAATACAAATATTTTGTGCGTTCCATGAAGAACTAACTGTGTGACAGAATTCACTCTATCCCGCAAACGAAATCTAAAAAAAAATGACAACAAATGAAATCGTTCGCTGTTTCACTTCGCTAACCAGAGAGGCCGCAAATATTAAATTTATCAAGATCATGTGACTATTCGGTTTGTATTTTCCCCTATTTTTATTTTGAATTGTATATTACTTGAAATAAATTATATTACTTTGGTGACACTTTTAAAATGAACGTAATCGTACTAATGTACTGTCTTTTTATTTGCTTTCGACATTCTACATTTGGTTTATACCAGCATAACGTATTAATTAGTATTTCATTATTAGCAAAAGGTAAATAAAATGAGGGTATACAAGTATGTGATATGCAAATTAAGATCTCGCGAGAATTGAATAAGTCACGCGAATTGCGAGATGATTACAGACTATTTCTTGGGTATTGGATTAATGCTCCAGTCAATGTCAAACTCCACCCTCCCTCCCCACCTCGGGGTTTAGTAAGGGATTTGGAAATTATTGTTGTAAAATTTGCCAAATGCCCCATAGGCATAGGATAGGCAGTAGAGTACTCAATGAACGTATGCACATGCACAGCTAGCGATGACGGAACATGAAACATGACTATTACCCCTACCTCCACGGGCACAATTTGGCGGTCTAATTCCCCACATTTGTCTCGTATCTCCCAAGGTTTTTAGGGGTCGGGCTTGGGCTTGACATTGGCTGGAGCATAATCAATGTACTGTAAGAATTTGAAGAATTAATTAAAAGACTAGTGATTCGTTTTTGAAGTGTTGTGGGCGGGCCTCACCGACAGGTCAGTCTTTGCATGCATGTTCTCATGGTAATGTACTGAAGTCATCATAGAGACAGCCAACCTGTGATGACACAGACTACGTAGTAGCCTGACAAGGTTGTGCGAGTTGCGTCCTTCGCGGTGCTCTAAACCCAACACACACTTGTGTAGTTGCATAGCGATTCACCAGACCATTGTTGAGTGTACTTGAAATGTCTGGATTGCAGGCTTAATAGTGTCTATGCACAAACCAACATTACTAGAACTGATTAGTGTTCACTGCATTCTATGACACTATTGATAGAAATAGAATGGTATTGTTTTCCATGCTCTGATTATAATCTTATAAAACCTTGATAATACCAGAGGTACATTACTTGGGGTTTGCAACGCACATAGTACCTGTATTGTGACATCACGTCAAGATCCCATTGAAGTCTCATCTCGTAGATAGCGAGACTGAAGCTACGACCTTCTGACATTGATATATATCAATGTTCAAGGTTTGTAATAAAACAATAAAACATGTCTCACCGCTATCATAGTGAAAAAATGTAATAAATTGAAAATGTACAGAAAATATAGTTTTTGTTATCGGTCATATAGGTGAGCAGCTATTTTGATCCACCTGGACCTCTCAGTATTCTTGTTACCTTGGGCATGCGTATTTGCATTGTTCTGAGTTAGGTGAATGGTTATGCGAGAGCAAGATTTAAACAGGATATTGGTATCATGTCACGCTACTTGCAAACCCCAAGTAATGTACATGTACCTCTGATAATACATAATAACAATAGTATTTTTTCAACACTAAAACAAACTACGGTGAATTGTTCCATGGTTGTATAAAAATAAACTAAACTGAACTAAAACACAGTAAAGTTATCAAACTAAACAGAATACTAAATAAAGCTAAATAAAATTACAAATAAACACATAAAGAATCACAGTATACTAGTATGGTACAATACAATACAAAATCCTAACTATGGTGGATCACATACATGTATTAAACCTTCTATAAAAAAAAACAAAAAAATTGAAAGAAATAAGTGACTGAAAACCTGTTGTGAATAATAAATACATTTTTGGAAAATTCTCTTTGAGAAGTAAAAAAATCTCATGTTTTAAATTGTTAAGCAAATCTTGGCATGAAATCTAAGCTCATAAAAGTCCTGTGGCTCTTAATAGCCTTCAGTGATACTGAAGTTAAGCTAGTTTTAAACCAGCTAAAAGCTAAATGTTAAGTTATGCTTGGACTGTACTGTAGATATGGTTTTTTTTAGCTCCACTGTCGACTTTGTAGACCGGAGCTTATCATATGAATGACTGTCCGTCGTCCATGTCAATGTTTTACTTTTTTGACTTCTTCTTGGAAACTACAAGCCTGAATGCTTTGATACTTGGTGTATATGTACCTTGGGTAGACCTCTCTTAGATTTGTTCATTTTATGATGATATCTTCAATTCTCTAATTTGGATGAATATTTTTCCTAAAAACTAATATTTTCGATTTCTTGTTGAAAACAGCAAATCTGATTGCATTGATACTATACATATTGTTAATTTCCTCATGATATCTTCTGTTCTTTAATTGTAATGTGCATTGCTAACAGCAGAGCTATCTCAGCCAACAGGCTGCTTGTTTAAACCAAACTTAGCTAATTTTAAACCAGTTAAAATCAAGCTAAATGTCAAGTTCTGCTTGGACTGTACTGTAGATATATGGCAGTTTTAAAAGCAAGCAAAGCTACTTTTAAACAAGCTCTTTTGAGGGCACATTGCACCTAGGTTCTATCACTTGTTCAGAAATTAATTTATATGACTGAGGTCACAAAACACAAAAATATGCATCCAGGACGTAACAGTTTATGTAGTCAAACAAACAGATCTATAATCAGCCAGAGCACCAAGGTCAAATTTGATAACTTATGAAATGATCTAGCACACAGCATTATACTGTGTTCTAATAAGTGATTTTCCATTCACCTTGAGATCTTGCATAATGCGAGAAAGGTGTCGTCATAATGCTGATCCTTGAGAGGGTAATATTGCGTTGAGATACCCTTAATTAAATTAATAATTAAATGTGTATAGCACATTATTATGCGAGGATATACCCACAAATATTTTCATTTAACGAACCCCATATGATGTTTGAAAGCCACTACAATGCTATGACCTTTGTTTGTCCTGTTTTTTTCATTTGATGGTCTATTTCAATAGATTTGAGGTGATATGCAAGTGTTACATTGTCTCATCACTCTAACTTCAGGTAACAGATATTCTGGACGTGTTCACTCACAAAGAATTCACATACGACAGCATCTCAAATTAGTAGCATGTTACTGAACGCTAACAAGTTAGTGGTTAATTAATTATTTATATTTTCAGGACCAAGTAATGAAATAATAAAACTAAAATAGCCACAAATGTAGTTCATTCGTTTAGCTTGTATATCATTAGTTGTATGGATTCTCATGGGTATGTGCCCACTAACAGGGCCGATTTTGTAAGATTCTTGAGTGAAAATAGAATCCAAAAAACAGGTTTAGACATTGCCAGGGGTGAGGTTTTCAAAAAAAAAGCTAAATTACAAAAAAAAAACGTAAAAAGTTGTAGTACCTACCGGTAATTTTCTTTATGAAATGTAAATTTCATATTACCAAATGAATATTAGCTAATACCATACCATACCAGCCATACACAAGTTATGTGTAAATCATACATGAATCAAATCATACATGAATCAAATCATACATGAATCAAATCATACTCTGTCTTCACACTCATTCTCTATCCAGTGAAAACTTCTTATATGGATTTGAGTTTTATGTGAGGGTCTTCTTGGGTAAATGTTTTAATAATTTCTAAAAAAAAAAAAATGTTTTATCTTCCTTTGTAATTTCAATATTGATCTGTAAT